TTTGAGAAAGGGCTGCGATTATAAAAGTCGTTACATGTTTAAAGCGATTTCCCAACAACGAGGTGACGCACACACCTCCTGCTGCTGCTGCTCCTGCTGCTGCTGCTCCTGCTGCTGCTGCTAATGCTGCTGCTACTGCTGCTGCTGCTCCTGCTGCTGCTCCTGCTGCTGCTGCTCCTGCTGCTGCTGCTGCTCCTGCTGCTGCTCCTGCTGCTGCTGCTGCTCCTGCTGCTGCTCCTACTCCTGCTGCTCCTGCTGCTCACTCCGGGCGAATACTCCGACTGCTGCGCGACTGGACTCCACGTGGGACCGAGCACACCCGCACCTCCCAAGAGCACTGTTGGCCACGCACGGTGCGAAGGAAGTTCAACACACACGTACACACATGCACACGTACACACGTGCCCACGTACACACGTGCCCACGTGCACACTCACGTACACACGTACACACGTGCACACACGTGCATACACACGTGCACACGTGCACACGTACATACCCACGTGCACACTTGCACACATACACTTGCACACGTGCACACGTGCACACGTGCACACACACGTGCACACACACGTGCACACACACACACGTACACACGTGCCCACGTACACACGTGCCCACGTGCACACGTACACACGTGCACACTCACGTACACACGTACACACGTGCACACACGTGCATACACACGTGCACACGTACATTCTCACGTACACACACACGTGCACACCCACGTGCACACTTGCACACATACACTTGCACACGTGCACACGTGCACACACACACACACGTGCACACACACACGTACACACACTTGCACACACACGTGTGCACACGTGTATACGCACACATGCATACGCACACATGCACACACACACGTGCACACGAAGCGTCGCCCGGTGTATCGCCAACGCTTGCCGCGCCAGACCCGGGGCCTTGGGCTCAAGCAGCAGGGCGGCGTTCCACGTGGGGGGTGGTGGGGGGGGGGGCTCGAGGCTGGGAAGGAAGAGGCAGAGCCATTGATGATCCACGGGGGGCACGGGGTGTGTGTGTGAGAGAGAGAGAGGCAGGGAGAGGCAGGCAGAGGCAGGGAGAGGCAGGGCAAGAGCGAGCTGCAAGGAGTCCAGGCGAGAAGTAATGGAGGCGTGGACCAGAGTCTGCCCAGCCGCTGGAGCCAGACCATCCCGTGTGTCGGCAAGGTTGCACAGGTGCAGGTGAGAGGTCGGAATCTTTCTTTGGCCTGGATAAATCCGATGAGCTATGAAGTTCCTTTTCACAGACGCCCAAGTAGGGGCGCAGGACAGAAAGTTACAACAAAAATGCCAAAAAAAACAACCCAACCTGATGAGTGCAAAGTACATGATAGGATAGGTAGGCAAAAGACTAAACACAAATACGTAAAATAGATAAAGAATAAAATTTCAAATGGCACAAGTACACCAATTCCCAGGCGTGAGAAAGGCAGCAACACAAACAGCAAAAAAACCACCCAGCCCCAGACCACATCAATACAATACCACACAGCCCCTCATTAAAATTGTACGTTAAAAATATAGCTATGGATAGACGGGTGAAGGATGAAAGTTAAAAACAAGCTCCTGTCCTGCGAGACTTGGGACATGCTGCGGTGGGTAAAAAAAGCGTCAGGACAAAACAAACAAAAAGTCAGCGCCCAGGGTTGTTTCACGCCGCTCGCCAAACATAAAATCAAAAGTTCACACAATTCGCGCTCGATTTGGGGACTTTATAAACGACTGACATTTGACCAAGTTGACGGACATCATTCGAGTACTGTACACAGATGCAGGGAGACGGGACAGGCAGGGGGGGGAGAGAAAGGATAGGTATGGAAAAGAGAGAGGCAGGGAAAGAGGTGAGAGGCAGGAAGAGGTGAGAGGTAGGAAGAGGTGAGGGCTGCGTGCAACACGTGTTGTAGAAAAAAATACAAATATTACATAGAAAACAGGGGGAACATAGACAGAGTAGGGAGAGAGAGGGGGGGGGGGGCAGAGAGAGGGGGAAATCTTTCATTTAAAAGTGGGGAGGGGGGGTTTACATAAAGCAAAGCATTGAAAAACACACGAAAAAAACGAAATGATGAACGAAGCAAAGTGCCGACTACACCGAGCATCTTCTTGTTTCCTCTGATCGTAAAAAAATAAAAAAGAGAGAGAGGTGAGAGGCATGGAGAGAGGTCAGAGACTGGAGGGAAAGAGAGAGGAAATGTATGGAGAAGAGAGAGGCAGGTAAAGCAAGAGAGATGAGAGGCATGGAGGCGGGGAGAGGATGAGAGCTCCAAGACGATTTGTCCTGCAGCTCTCGCCTGCACTCACTCGCATCCTCCACCTCTCGTGACCAATTAGAATTCACTCGGCATTGCCAGTGGCGGGCATCCATCGAAGATGTGCACGCAGACAAGCATCCCCAACAGAGCTCATAAGAGCGACCGGAGGTTCCCTTCATGAATATCGATGAAAGTTCAACTTTGCATTTTACCGGGTAAGGCCCACTGAGCTATATAGCTCTAACTGGTAGGAACCACCTGGTTCCACCAGCCCACAGGGGATTATTGTGTCCGTCCGTCGTGCATCCAAAAATGGGAGGGTGGGGCTGGGTGGGGGGCTGGGTGGGGAGGGGCTGGTCACCCCGTGGTGCCCTTATAAAACTCAACGTTTAACCTACTCACGCGCCGGCTTGTGCCCACCCTCACAGTCGGCCATATTTGCAGAATACACCACGCCGCCGTTGACCCTAGCCATTGACCGAGTAACCCAACGTTCCTACCAGCTCCCTCCGCAGGAATGTGTTTAGAAGCGACCTGGCCATAAACGATAGCTCAAACGAAGTGGCTTATCATGTCGAAATGTATAGCAGCCAAATACCTTAAACACGTTGATTCTAAATGTGGAGGAAAATAATTAGACACGGGGATAACGTAAAAAAACTCTAAATGTACAGGCATCGCCAGGGACGGGATCGAACCCACGACCTCCTGTATACCAGGCGAGGTAGTTAACATCTCCTAGTCACCGTGGCGGTACCACATTTGCGGTTCGTTGCAGAGGCTCGCGGTTCGATACTGTCGGGCGCCATGGATAATACTGCGGTTGGATTTACCCATTGCCATGCATGCAGTCTGCGCCACGGCTTCACAGCAATGTCCAATAAAGAGTAGGCAACATGGCAATTGTGGGCCCCCCTACTGAGAAAACTTGGCATGACCCTCCTGCAAAAAGTTGACTGCAAAACTTTCCTGGGTAAAAACATGTCGTAATACTGGTGATTGCCGTCGTGAATAATTCAACCATGGTGACGGGAGGCTCCAACAATCTCTTCTTTTAAAATGAAAGGTTACCGACATCAATTGAAGTGCGACCGAGCACACTAAAATATTTATAACGAAAGCGAACAGAGGTCGCCGATTCATCCGTGACAATTAATGGCAGCGACTTCGAGGCGCACTTGCCAGATTGCCTAGAACGAATTCTCTGGACGCGTGCGCAGGTCAACGAACGATTCAGCAGCCATCAGCAGATACCGAGGACCCATTTGCAGACATAAGCAATAGCCGAATTTGCACATCCATCGCAACAAAAATATTTTCACAATCCATCAGCCCGACGCCGATGATTATTTTGAGTTGTATGGTTGGGTCAAACTCGGCCCACCCCCAACCACAACATAATGGGAGGTGTACTTGTATGTTGAACTTTTTTCGCACCGTACGTAGCCAACCGTGCTCATCTCAGGTGCGGGGGCACCTGCCTGTCCGATCGGCAGTCCAAGCATCGAGTCCAGCGAGTCCGACTGTCGATGAGACACCACGGGTGCATCTTAACACCGGCCCCGGCGTTTTGCGCGTCTTGAAAAAACGCTGCCGAAATCGTGCACCCGTCCCCTCCCCCACAGAGCTCCGTGTGGCCGGCGGTATGTGGAGAGAGACGGATGCGTGAAGACATCTCTCGTCTTCTTCGAGACGTCTTCTTCCCGTCAGGAACATCACACGAGCCCTCGCTTACAGGAGAACCCAGAGAGAAAGGGGGGCGAAGAATGGTGGCCACGCCAAGTTCAGCTCTGCAGCCCTCAAAAAATCGCGACGCGCGCTTGTTGCTCGACCCGACATCTGCGTTGCACGCCACACGCTGGGGGCGTGGCAGGGGGGGGCGTCTCTCCAGGCACTGGAGGGGTTTCCTTGGCAAGTTTCCAGCGGGCAGAGCGATGTAACGACTGCTTTAGCCTTCCCAGGTGGCGACAAAGACGCAAGGTCGCCATGCGACGTGCAAAACCACCACACCTACTCCCTGCGCCATGCGACGTGCAGAATCACCACACCTACTCCCTGCGCCGTGTGACGCACGCAATTTGTGGAAGGAGAGGAGGTGGGGGTCTAACCAGAGAATGCCCCCTCCCCCACAAAAAAACGGTCCTCGTGTCACCCCTACCCCAACCCAATGTCACACCTTGATAAAGTATATTGAAACGTCACTCAATTCTCACTCGGGCAGGGAAAATGACAAATTCCATCCGGAAGATAAACATCAGCAGGCGGAGGCATTCCACCTGCACCAGGATTCACGCAGCCACGAAAATAACCAACCACGCCCCCCCACCACCCCTCTCGACTCCACAAGGAAACGATTCACATTCACTAGCAAGCAGCCAAAAACCAAGATGCCCCCATGTAGCCTTAACAGACTGTTGGAAGCAAGTGCTGTTAGCGAGCACCTATCAAGGCCGGCACGGCACACGAAGTGGGTGGGGTGGCCAACACCACGCCCGGCCGCCTTTGTCTCCCTAGCGGCGATGTTTACACATTGCACCAGGTACTCGGTTGAGGCAGAGTCTACCTAGGAGAGGCCCAGGACCAGTTCCAATACCCGTCACTGGTTTTGGCCATGAGCGGGAATCAAACCTGGGTCGCCAGGTTCGTAGCACAGCATGCCAACCTCTACACCAACGCTCTGCACAACCACCCACACAAAACACACACACACTTCCCGCACTTCACGTTACAGGCTTTATTTAGTCAACATTACGTTCCAGAATCTACGGCACCTGCTAAGCCATGAAGGAGCCGATTTCATTCCTTTAAAAACCTGCAAAACAAGTGTCGTGCTCACGCGCGAGACAGGTGACGATTGGTTGTGTGCAAAAACACAAGTGTATTATCCTTTTGATATATTCAACGAGACCATTTCGGACCCGGGCAAACGGTGGGCATCAGGATTGGTAGGCGACGGGGACAAGCGAGGAGGAGGGGGGGGCGCAAACACTTTTGGCCATCGCTGCTACAACGCAAGGTTCTAACTTGTCAAATAGAACGCTCCTTTGCGGTGAAATGAAAATGCAAATTTGGCTCCGTTGTGCAGAGCAGTTCGGCCAAAGTGATTGCGGTGCAGACCTCTGCAGAACTCCCCCCCCCCCCCACCATCTCGTTAGGAGCTGTGCACAAAGCAAATTGTGTTCTCGGCCAGAAAATCAAATGATGCATCGTCATCGTCAAGCTGAAACGAAGGCAGAGGGAGAAAAACATTACTCCCCCCCACTACCCAAGTCAAGAAAATGGTTTTCAAAATCGTTCAAACGTTAAACGGTTTTGAACATTCAAAAGAGAAAGCAGCTACAATCCTACCACGCCAAAGTACATTCTCATAAATCGGCAAATATTACATGTACATTTTTATCCGACCGGTATAAGTAACGCGTTAAAATCAAAGTTACAAATTTGAAGATTAGAACCCCCAGTAAAGAAATCAAATTAATTATCAAACCTGCAAAAATCAACACTAAATTGGGAAGAGAAAAACTGCGCCAAAGGCAAAAACAGTGACGTTTGTGAAATCCGCTGCAGACTGGGCAGGGATCACTGTACCCCGAGAAGCTTTGGCAGCAGCGAGCCAAACCACCACCCCCCCCCCCCCCCCGCGAGACCAGCATCAGACACACCACGCACACCTCCCAGCAGCACACCCTCACGCGTCCCGATACAGACTTGAAGACGCGCGTGCCCTCACGTTCACACGAGTGGAGCACATTCCACCCAGTCGACATGATGGCGGAGAGCGAGTCTGGACACGTGGAGGGGTTCGAGTGTACGCGGAGGGGCGGTGAGCACGGGTGGGTGTACGCAGAGGTGGCGGCGAGCACGGCCCGATGTGCGTGGAGGGGCGTGCGTGGAGGGACCCGCGGGACAGGGCGTGAGCGGATGGCGTGCGAGGAAGGGGCGCGGGTTTGCGGCGGAGAGGTGCGCATGGAGGGATATGCCGAGGGGTGCGTGCGGAGGGAAGTGTGGGATGAAGAGTGGAGTGTGGGGCGAGAGATCAGAGAGAGGTGAGGGTGGCGGTCTCGTTCAGACGATCGCTCAGTTCCACACGTGGCGCTTGCAGTGCTCCTCCGCCTGGCAACAGAAAAAAAATGGACACACGCGAGACATCGTCAGGCACGACGCAGCGGTACTGTGTGGGGTGGGGCACTACACACGCACGCGGATGGGAAGCGGTAGTGTAGTGGTCAATGCACTGCGCTACAAACAACCCGAGTTCGATTACCACTCACAGCCAATACCAGCAACAATTATATGAACAGGTCCAGGGCTTCCTTTGGCTTGACTCAGCCTCAAACGAGTACCTGGTGCAGTGTGTAAACATGGCCGCTGGGGACACAAATACAGCCAGGCGTAGTGCTGGCCACCCACCCCCTCGTGTGCCACCGTGCCCGGCTTTCATTAGGTGCAACTTTCTTAACAGCACTTGCCCCAACAGTCTGTTAAGGCTATACACAGGGTGGGGAATCTTCGTCCGTGCTTTTCGGTGTGTGCGCGTTCCCTGCAACTCACGCTGCAGCGCTGTGCGTTCTCCTTGCTCTGGCACCAGAAAGACGGGCCCCAGGTGCACTCCTCCAGCCCCAGCGGGGTCGCGTGACGCGCTGCGATGCACGCTCCCAGCTTCTGCTCGCACGCGGGGCGGACACGCAAAGAGGGAGCGGGGCACCTCGGTGGTTACAGACGTGGTGGCGAGATGTTAAATCCCTCACCTGGTACACAGGGGGTTGTTGTGGATTCGATCCAGACCCCCGACGACTGCTGTATATTTGGAGGGTGCGTGTGCCCTCTCCCCCATGGTTGCGTGGATTTTTTGCCTGGTGCTCCCCCGTTGTTCCCTCCACATTTTAAAAGCAATTTGTGTTCGAGTATTTGGCTGCAGCTATAAAATTTCACGGAAGCCACTTCTCGTCGATCAGTTAATTGTTGCCAGGTCGCTTCTAATAGAGCTATATCACTCCGTGGGACTTGCCTGGTAAAAATAAAAAATAGTTTAGCCGAGTTTTAATTACCAGCCTCTCCCTCATCCAGATCGCTGGCACCTACCACCCACCACAGAGACACTTTGTTACAGGAAACGTATTTAATTAAATGTCGGGATTATATTTGCGCAGTTTCATTTCTGTCATGCGCACGGTTCAGATACAATTTATATTTGCTTGTTTTGTGCCGTCGTCTGTTTGCTTTGTCGCTTTTGTTATGTTGGTGACCCAAGTCACCTCTGCAAGCGGGACTAATCCTGGTCTCTTCCGTTCTCACCAGTTCTCACCCAGTTAATCTAAACTGCACTGCAATGGGTCCCCCCCCCCCCCCACCCCCATACAGATTGGAAAGAGGGTCACACTTGTTAATTTTTGCCGTAGCACGTCTTGATGTCGCAATGTAGTGCGAAAAAGTAAATAAAGCAGATGCATTACCAAAGAGTTCCCATAATCCGCATTTTACTCAAGACCAGCTCGAGGTTAATTGTTAATTTCCGAAGCTCCTAAGGAATAATGAGAACCTGTGACTCAGCCACTGGGAATTAAAAATTACGAAACCCCAAAAAAACAATCGTTTGTACCGTGTGGGCCTGCATGTCCTAGGAATGGGTAATAATGTTCAGTAATGAGAAATGTGACAGTCAGGCAATGCTCCAGTTACACAACAGATCGAGAGTTGATGCAAGTCAGTCAGAGCGCCAAACTGCAAGCCAATTGGAATTTTTTTACGTTACATTAACATTCATTATCATATATTAAATGACACCACCCTCTGAATAGGGTGGTTGTCAAAGAAATGTTGCAGTTTGCGGTCACAATTGCGATTGTTAAGACCAAACCAGATGGACTGGCAGCGCAATTTGCGAAAACGCAATTACTTTCCAGTCCGCTTCTAGTTGGCGACTGGCTTCAGGTCACAGTGGTAACCCCGTTTGTGGCATGGAGGGCTGGGCTTCGTCACCAAATTTGGACTTTAACCCCCACACCCAGCGAACCAGACCTTGATACGAAGAATCGGTGCGCGCAGCTGCGAGAGCCCAAAAACCAGAACATTTGAAATGTGTTCAAATCTTTGCCAACTTCTTTTAAAGAGGCTTTGAACGTTTTCCAGGGGCAGCACGCAGAAATCTTGGGTGTGGAGCTACAACATCGAGGACGAATGTCGGTACGATGGCAAAGCCAGCGGGCTCGCCGACACATTTGCTGTTAGCCCATAACACGGACCGACAAAATGTTGGGTCTGCATCGCGCTCACGCGAAAAAAGCGGAAGACAGGCAACAGCCGAAGCTATATGCACTTTTAAATAGATTGAAAACAAATTTCTTTAGAACTGCTTGTTGTGTATAGTTTGTTATTCCTTCCCCCCTCCCCTCCGATTAAACACGGTTGGCAACGTACGGTGCAAATGAAGTGCAACATACACACATTTCTAATGGCCAGGAGGTGGCAGCAGCGTGGCGTGAGGGAGTGTGGCGTTGCACGCGGCGTAGTGTGGCGTGACATGGCAGGGTGTGGCGGGCGTGTGGCATGGAGTAGAGCATTGTGGCAAGGAGTGGTGTAGTGCGACGCAACATGGTGTGGTGAAACGTGAAGGTGTGGCGAGACATGGCGCATTGTGGCGTAGTGTGGATTTTGGTGTATGCATATCACCGTGTTCACATTACAGACAGGGAGACAGGCGTGACGTGGTGTAGGTGTGAAGTGACATGGTGTGGTGAGACATGGCGTAGTGTGACGTAGTGTGGCGTTCGGTGCGCGCGTGTCGTCGCGCTCACGTTACAGACGAAGTCGGGGTCCAGCGCTTGCTCCAGCAGCTGCACCAGCAGCTCCCCGTACTGCTCCACGAGTGAGTCGCACTGTGCCATGAGGGAGGGAGGAGGGGGACACGTGCTGTGGTTACGGCAAGACCATCACGGCACTGGCCGGGGTCGCGACGATGACGCCGAGCCACGCCGGCAAAGGGGCGGCGTCATCAGGCCACCGTAGCTGTCACACGCAACGTCGGCCAGGATCAATCCACTGATGGATGAAGGCCTCTTTCCCCCCGTCAAGCTGTTGCCACCATTCGTGGTACTGCAATCCTCGCGGTAATGTAACAGCCACTATTCGCCACGAAGTGACGGTGATGTTACCATGGCGCCGGTGCCAGGCTAGGTGCACCGAGGCCACGTGAGTTGTCGAAGGCTCGCCGACAGGTCACTGGACACACCCAGGTGCCATAGTTTGGCTGACTGAGAAGACTGGCAGACGAGCAAGACTTCATCTCTAGGCGTCCGTGGTAGACGTCCTCCCAGGTGCGTTCCCTCCTTCGGCTGCCATTCCTCGCTAAGTCTCGATCACCGGCCACCGCAATCCTTCCAAGTGATGTTCTACTTACAATTCTTAACCGTCAACACAATGTCTTAAACGACCATGCGCTCCAATCCACGCGTTCCCCCTTTCTGTCTCAATGGAATTCAAAGGGCGAGCCTCTCCGTGCTTCTCTGCACATATCTCCGTTTGTCTGTTCTCAACAAGAGGCTTGTGCGCTTAATGCGGTTCCAATTATTCACGAAGGTCTTACCCAGTCTCAAAGCTTTGCTTTTGGGATGTTAGGTTAATTTCGATGAATGTGAAAGAGCTTTACAGCTATTGGATTCTTCCAGTATATTCTGATTAAAATGTTTTTAAAAGGAGTGTCTTTTTAATGTGGTGGGTTGGGGGGGGGAGTATATAACCTAGATATAAATTAGCCATGCAAGGAAATAACACAGATTTACAGATGGGTTCACACATTTATCGACTGTACCATCATCTCATAGCCATCTCATCGCCCCTGCCTTCATATAGACCCGATACAACATTAATGTTTGACAGATCAACTTGTGCCGTGTCAACACTATGATAATCATTCAACCCACATTCATCAATAACCATGGCCTTGAAAGGAAAAATAATACACACAATAGGTGACGTGCCAGGCAATGGGTCCTTCGTAGCAAATAGATCACATAAAGGCCACATGTCAATGGAAGCATCACCAAAAAATTGTTTTATTGTTGTTTGATGCAAATTGACACGAGTGTTGAGCAGTGACACACGGACTCCAACCCGTGGCTGTCCAACCCTGTGGAGTGCATCATCCCTTCTTGCACGTACTGGTCGACGTTAATCCGTGACCCTTATCAGATTTACGCTTCGCACAGACGGATAGGGGGGGGCTCTTGTTTGTTTGTGCGCTCCCGTTTTAATCCGTGTGACGTTTATTTGCGCATCTCTATTATTGCCGCACAGATTATGTTACCGGTGTTTGCCGATAGGGCTAACAATGTCGACTTGCAACGCGCCCGCCACTGCTCTCCACGGCCAGAATGACTCAAGGTGCGCAGAGGAGGAGGAAGTCACTGCGAGGATTTGCTGTGTAAATGAGCGCAATAATTTACATTTTTTAAATCATGGATGCGCAATGCAGGCGAGGGGTAGAGTTCGTCATGACGCCCCATGCCTCGCCTCACAACCACACCACGCGTCCACTACCTGCTGCTGGAACGCGTCGGGCAGGAAAGAGCACACCGTCTCCAGCGCCTGCTCAATCTGCTCCTTGGTGGCGTTCTGCCCCAGCATAGGAGTCCAGGTAGCTGACGAGCAGCTTGCACGCCTCGCAGAAGGTGCCACCGGCCAGCTTTGCTGGCATCACTGTGGTGGGGCGGGGGGGGCACGGGGCGATGGGGGGGGGGGGGTGCCAGAGTACAGGGAGTCACAGTGGAAGGCCACAATGATGAGGTGACTCTTCTGACAACTCGTGCACAAACACCAAGGGGCTGGGGAATCTTTTTGTTACCAAACGCGTGTGGGGAAACAAATATTCGTTGCCTGGCAGTCACACCAATGTGCCCATTTTTCGGAGTAAGCAAGCTTGCCACACGTCAAGTGAAAAAACGATTTAACGCGATGCTCGATTTGTGTGGTCAGTCCATGGGCGACCACAATGAGACCATCGGTGCTCCGACCCACAAGCAACTCGGGCACCTCTCGAACAATAAACATTTTTAAGAGATCGCCTTCTAACACAAGCACCACCAACATAGCCGTGGAGGGTAATTAGTGAGGGGTAGGGCTGGAGTGGTAGAGACCTTTGATATTTGTGTCATTTTTAGAGTGCAGGGTGCTCACAAAAGCACTGCTTCAGTCTACAGTAGTTTCTCACAGCAGGCAGCAAGCCATGTTGCTCGGGGTAATCCCAATTTGCGAAATTTGCCGTGTCATTTTTCAACCTTTGGCAAATTCAGACACACCGACACTGGATGTACAACGGCCCACTCTTATGCGATCTTTAATCTTCCACTGCGTTGCAGTACTCCATAAGTATCTTACGGTTAAAAACGCACCTGCGGTATTAACTGGGGCGGCACCCGCACGAATTTGGACCGTGAAGCTCGCGCAACAAGCGGCCGCATGCGACTCCGCTGGGGTCCCCTGCGTACCTCTCGCCAGAGCCAGCTGGCGCGCCTCGCTCTTGCAGAGGCCGAGGAAGGTGCACACGGTTCCGGCGTCCAGCTCCTGCACTAGCAGCTCGATGGCGGCGCGCCCGTACGTGTCCACAAACTCCTTGCACTCGCTGGCGATGGTGCTGGGCAGGTGGGAGCACACCAGCTCCAGGTCCTTGACAATTGCTGCCTGCAGGGAGAGAAGCACGTTTGCAGGCATAGCGACGTCGCAAACGAAAATTCTGCACGTAGTCTGTTCTCCTACAACGCGTGGTTTTCATGACGCAAATTGGAGATAAACGTGATGAGTGTAATTAGGGAACCACATTTTTTTCTAACACGGACGCGAATTGGATAGAACGGGATCGAGTGAACGGAACTACGTTGCGCGAGTCGGAATAAGCGGTTATACGGCCGCCTCGGTGCAGCACCACACAAGGTGAGATTGCTGCTAACTCCTTGCACTTGCATCACACAAGGTGGGATTGCTGCGAGATGCTACTCACATCCCTCAGTCCGTTCCGCCCGCAGACACATCTGACATGTTATTGCCGGCTGTGCTATACCCTATATTATTTATTGTAACGCGATTTTTCCGTAACGCTACTAGCACGTTAAATCGGAGTACACACTACCGGGAAAGAATACCACCATAAATAATATGCGTACATTTTGTTTTTTGGGGGCGAATGCAGTGGAACCTGGGCGCGTAAACGCGTGTAGTGGCACGGCCGAGCACGAGAACAAAGACGGCCAAAGTTGGAGTTAGGAACGTGGTTACTCATTGGCGGAGGAGCTATTGTTTTCAGAGCAGAAATAATTTGCACAATCTTGCCGAGTAAGACAGAGGTACACTTCACCATAGTTTGTCATTAGAGGAACGGGTTGTTACCGTGCAGCAGGGTACGGTCCCATAAGGAAACACAGAGGCTTATTAGAAGATGCCAAGGAAGTTGAGTTTTAGTGGGGCTAGCAGCATTAAGAGTTCGCTTTAGAAGGGCCCCTTGGCAACAATATTGGTTTAAGATGGCAATTCAGCAACGTTATATAGCAGTGCCCAATTAGCCTGGCCGATTTGGCTTCAAATGAGGTTTTGGATGTAATTATTAAGCGTTTTACACCTCATGCTCTTGGTGGCTACGTAAAGTAAAAGACATCACTCGTAGCAGTTGCAACACCAAAAAGGTTAAGACACCAAGTAGCCATGTCTGGTGCGAGGGTGGACAGATGAACACAATCTACAAAGTTATACGTGCAGTACACGTTGCACTCAAAGTTCGCATGGTTCAAACGCGTACGCCTGAGAACAGATCGGATGTTTTTAAATCGATGCAAACAAAGGAGGAAAATCTGGACATACGGCTAGATGCGCAATTATTGAAACAGTAATATATGTTTCATTTTAAAACCCGCTCACATTTCTGGCACCTACGATTAGTGCGGTTGACTACGTGACGTACGAAAAGAAGTTCAATATATATACGTACAACTGAGAAATGAGGTCATATGTCAACCTAAGAGTTTATATTTCAGTGCTGAGCTCGATACAATTTTGAGGCTCTCCATCACATCAGAAATGAACTCCCCCCACCTCCGCATTTTACGCAACTACAAACCTGCACACACGCAGTGGAGCAGCGACACACGACCAACGCCCGTGCAGACATCACGGAAGCACAGACCGCGCACCGCGGTTAAAACAAAACGCGCCATGGCAGAAACTCACCTCAGACTTGTTGTTGCCGATCAGCTCCTCAAGCTTCTCCATCACAAACTCGCAGATGACGCAATTTGGTCCTCCCTTCAGCGACGGCACACGGCTCTGCTGCACGCACACACGGCGTCACGTCGCGTTACGTCGCTGATCATGCCGAAACCACGCTCGAAAAAACGTTCCCCGCAGTGAGCGTGGCGCCACCTGTCTCTTGCGCATTGTTGTGCACGAGCCATAGCTACGCGCAGCAATGTAATCAGTTACACCGCTGACGGGCTCCCATTTCAAATGGTTAGTTTTACATCTCGTCGCCAACCTATAGTAACCCTCAAGGTCGTACTCGCACAAATCCAATGCTGGTACCGCAATTTATCAATAATTCAAATGACCCGATGGTGATGGCTCCGAGGGCTGGAATTAACACACGAGAGGTTGGGGGGCGGGGGGGTACGGCGGAGTCGCAGTGACAAAAATGACATCTCTGCACATTGCGTTTCGAAGTTCGTCCAGGCGTTAGCACGAGTGCATGCTTACGATCGAGTGAGCGAAGGAACCGCACGCTTGCCTTGTGCAACTGGGACCGAATCGTTTTTTTGGTCAGCGAGTGGGAAGGCACGTCTCTGCAAGATTATTCACCTTGATGGACAGCGCGGGGGTCAGACTCAAAAGAGGAGAGTGCTTGGCCTTGGAACAGACGCCCACACCACCGCACAGGACCTCTGGTGACTGCACACACACAGTCATCGAGGGGCATCACTGTTTTAGTCAATGGTGCGCACACATTCAAACGATGATCCCCCATTTAAAATGGTGTAGACCGCAAGGAAAAGTGTTGTTCGCAGGCACTTAAAGGCCGCCATGACAGTGTTGTGGCCTGAAATACTGACAGGGTATTATTTTTTGTCCAAATGATGATGTTCAGAATGTGCCAGGTACTCATTAAAAGGATCAGTTAAAGTAGGGGTTCAGAAAATGCCATATATTTAACTTGTTACCAATGCTCTGCATCATCAGGCATCAAACCCAGGCTTCGGGGATATTGGTTGAGTATGCTAGAAGTGACCTGGCCTCAAATGACAGCGCAACAAAGTGGCCTATCACATGGAAATTTAGAGCAGCCAAATACTGTGAACGCATGTCGATTCTAAAAATGGAAGGATAAACCCGAGGAACTGGAGAAAAATTAATGCGACCGCAGGGAAACCATGCAAACTGCAAATATTAGGCGTGAGGGTCTGGACTGAACCCATGACCTACTGCATACCAAGCGAGCTAGTTAACATCGCCACCGCAGTGCCCCTCCACTAATGGACGTACACTCAGACACACATATCATCATGTGGGTCCATACAAACATGCATACCAAGCAACAGATTATTCCAAAGCAGGCTGCCACCAACATCAAAAGTAACACAGCTAGCCCCCTCAACAGTAAGGGATAAAACAAACTATGCAAAACAACTCTGTGGAACAACCGCCACCAGCCACCGCTCCCACTGCACGGCACCGATCAGTACTATGTTAGTTCTGCGTTAGCGTCGCTGCAAGCACACTGTGCGGTTAGACACGGGGAGGGGGGGGGGGCCTGCACGGAAACGCTAACGGGCACAGCACACAGGCATCAGAGCCTGCCGACGATGACGTGAAGGACAAGGGAAAGGCACGCAGCATGCGGCTGGTTTCAGAGGTCATGGTGGAGGATGTGCGGCGGTTGGGGTTAAAGATGTAGAGGCACGGATGCGGTTAGGGTTGTACATAAAAAAACTCGTCGTACGTACCTCGGCCTGCAGTTTCAATACATTTCAAGAAGCAAAAAACACAAAATCAGTCGCAATGCTTACACAATACTAGGTTTCAAATAACCTTGATAATAATGGTGTGTATGACATTGAAAGCAAGGGGGACAGAGAAGAGGAATTGACGGCGGGGGTGTGCGAGGTGTTCGTGCGAGATTTACAGGAAGGGCACAACAAATGTGGGAGAAGAGAGGGAGGGAAGAAAAGGGGGAGCATGCAGGAGGGGAGTAGGCCTTCCTTACCGAGCCCATGAACATCTGCACCATCTGGTCGGCGTAGGCAGACACGTATTGCTTGCACTGTAAATGAGTGAGGGTGGGATCAGAGGAGGGGGGGGGGGTGGTGAACGTTTGTGTTACACAGCGACCACTCCTGTGCATCGGCATTAATCAATATCGCTAAAATTGGCAAAACATGGCCTGTTTATAGCGTGCGGACCAGCTAGGTGGCGCTGTGGTTAGCGTGACAGGCGATGGTGGTCCAAGGGCCGCTCACTGAAATCCGCTTGTTTCAGTCGAGGCATAGCTACTAAAACCTACGGTAGTTCCAAACCGAGCCACGTGGTGAGCTGGCGGCAGGCTCATCCCTAAATTAGCACCGCCTACTTTTACATAGCCACGCCCACTCGTTGTGAAGCCCCGAACGTGGCCAGCAGCCTCCTGGTCATTGCAGACGGCTACGCCCAATGCACGCAGGCCCTGCCCACCGCTGAAGTGGCCCCACCCTTATATCTCTGTGTCACGAGCAGAGCATGAAGCAGAACAAAAAAAGAATCCATACAGCTGCTCCGAAACGGAAACAGTTCCAGCCAAACCTGGATGGGTGCCAGCGCCTTTTACTTTAAAGTACATTTACTGCTAATTTGTCAGAACAAGAGCCACCTTTGCCTGGTTTTGCTTGCAACGCAGAACTTTGCAGAATTTAAATAAAGAACGAGGCACGGGGCGGACGCCCACGAGGAAGAAGAGAAGAATGGCAGTGGTGGGGGGAGGGTCCGGGCGCGTCCTCACCACGTCGGACATGTCAGGCCCAAGCATGTCGCACTGCTTGGAGACGGCGTCGATGAGCGCATCGGCATAGGAGCGGTTCTTCTTGATAAGGTCCTGCACGTCCTTGAGGAACGCCACGCAGTCGTGACACACGTCGCCGTTCCCCTTCTGCACACGCACGAGCGTGCGCAGTTCGATTAGTGTTGTGCCTGTTGTTACGATAAAGGCTACAGGCTCTATGTGGAGTGTCAATGACTCCCCCGCAGGTGGAGAGGACTTCAACTGGCAGTGCCAACAGTTTCTTCTCAACAATACGTCATTCCTCTACCACACTGCAGGTCACACACAAACACTTCCTCCCTTTCGTCACGCAGAAAGTGGCGGCGCTTACGCGTCATGCAAAAACATTGCCGAATTACAGCCTTTCACTTATTTGTCTTCAGTACCAAGATGTGGTGCAATGTACATACAAATCCAAACTGGTACTGTATCCCATTAGAAAAAAAAGAACTCGTCCTACTTGAGAAACCAAAATTCACTTTAACCCAGGATCACAGGCTGTGCTGATGCCAAGGCTATTAAACAAGCATTAGCCCCCCCACCCCCTCCATCGGGGCTTCTCCCGAGCCGTCGTTAGCTGCAGGAGCAAAATTTGCTCGCCAGAGGCGTCGCATCATTGGCATGGGGCTCTGGTGCGGGGAGTGAAATGGGCCCCCTCCCCCATCCAAATTCGCCCCCCCCCCACCCCTCTTTGTAACCAGGCACCTGGGCTCCTCCGGCTCCGGTGCAGCTGCACAGCCCACACAATCGATAGCGACTTCGCTACGGGGCGCTCCCCAGTACCCCGTGAAGCACCCCACACACACACCTTCAACTTCTCCTCCAGCATCTCCAGGATGGGAACCTCGGGAACGGGGATGTCGTTGGTGGAGATTCGATGCTCGTTCACAGACTGCTGGGTCTTGCAAATGTTCAGGGCTGTGCACACCACACTCGGGTCCTGTACACAAAGACAAAGATCCCCCTTAGCCTTAACAGACTGTTTGGAAAAGTGCTCGTAAGCGAGTACCTATGAAGGGCTGGCACGGCACACGAGGGGGTGGGTGGCCAGCACCACGCCCAGCCGCCTTTGTCTCCAGTGGCGATGTTTACACACCCAACCAGGTACTCATTTGAGGCAGAGTCAACCTGGAGAAGGCCCAGAACCGGTTTAGATAGTTACTGGTGTTGGTCGTGAGCAGGAATCAAACTCGGGTCTCTTAGTGTAGTGCACTAACCGCTACGCTACCACTCCCCATATAAACCACCGCCACACGTACAGTGAACCATTCACGTCATTTGTTTTCTAAGACATTTTGGCAGTCATGCATTGGGATATTTAAAACGTGTTTTTATTTTATTACGCAAGGCCCCCTAGAGCTATACAGCTCTTTCTCAGAAGTGGCCTGGCCACAAATGATAGCTCAACAAAGTTGCCTTTTCATGTGGAAACTTATAGCAGCCAAATAATTGAAATAATGTAAATGCACGTGTCTAAAATGTGGAGGGAAAAACCGGAAGACCCGGAGAAAAATCCATGTGACCACAGAGAGAGAAAGACACGCAAACTGCCGTCAAGGTCGGGATTGAACCCACAAACCCCCTATATACCAGGCAAAGTAGTTAACATCGCCACTGAGCGGAATGTTTTACTCAACCGAAAGCAAACCGGACAAAGACTCAACAAAATTAAGGCAAAACACTCAATATTACCAATCGGTTTACAAACCAATTTGCTGTACTGAGACAATGGCCACAGAACAGCCCAGTGGGGTTGGAACATTCACCATAGCTAAACGATTCGTCAAATCGCACCTCCAAAGTGTGTTCTGCTGAAGAGTCCAATTATCGTGCAATATAAAAAACTTCTCCCATTTCCAACCACAAAACACCGTCTAAAAAAATCGCCCATGACAAACGTCACATCCTTGCACAGCTTTCCGAGTTGTATTTAACTGCTGCATAAAGCCAGTGTGTCCTCTAGTGTACCGAACACCACATCTGTGCCAGTGGCCCGCTCAGTCCCAAGATCCAACATTGTGGCTGCATTGCTTTTTCACAGTTCAGTTTAAATTCTATAACATCTGTAGGGCAAAGGCTTGAATATCGCGTAAATGATATTCACATATGCAGTTTGTATGATTCCACAGTATTACCACTCATCTCTGTGCAGTGAAGAAACAGTACGGGGGAGTGTTGGTGAAAATAAATAAATAAAAGTCTTTTAGCTGCACATTGCACATTGAGGTTAATGAAATGGTTGTTCAGGATTGGTGCTACATTTACACGGCCCCGAGCCAGACCCGGCACTCAGGTCACAAATGCCACGTGGGTACGAGTGACCGAACATCGCACGGCGCATCACACATCTTGGAGGAGGTCGTCAGACAGTTAAGTCCATTTCATGCATATTATATAGTGGTGTACAAAATAGGTGCCATTAATGGGATTAAATTATTGTTAAATCAGTCCTCTCGAGGCATTAGAGAAGGTCCGTCTCCCCACAGTTAATAACGTGGAAATACAAATGAGTTAGACCCTCTTCCATCAATCCGCTGTGAGACAAGTTGTTTGAGCATACTTCACCGCACTGGTCCGTGTGGGTTGTTGGGAGGGGGTGGGAGGACTGATTCAGATGTCCCTGGCTACTGAATTTAGCCATGGCTGGAGAATCCAACTCGTATCAGCAGGTTTTCAGTAAAATGCACAAAATACTGGCTTTCAATCATCGAGGGTACTTTACATTCCCAACAGAATACGAGAAAAATCCACTACCAAGAAAATTATAGCTTCATTATGGAGAAATTATTATTAATTCACCTATCTGCAAATTAGGAAGCTACTGGGAGCTATGCACTAAATTGAAAAGTAATTTCTTGAAATGTCTTTTGCGTTTAGTCCCCCCCCCCCGCACCTCCGATTAACACGATTTGGCTACGTACGGTGCGAGAGAAGTTCCACATGGGTACACCAAAAACCAGGTGCAGGAAACCACAAAGCCATCTGCCGCCGCGCCTCTGCACGCAACCATTCCTGGCAGTGCGGTGGCGGCATGGAGAAGAGAGCAGAGTGCACCCCACAATATTTGCACACTGGTACAACAGTTCTCCAATCGTCTGCAGGCAAGAGTGGGGCACTAATACCATAACAATCATCCATCGCTCTGCCAACCTTCCTGTCAATCACCCCCCCCCCCCCCCCGCATCGACACGGTCATATATAGATCACGGAGAGTTCATACCGGACTAAATGTGGTCAAACCAGATTTCCCAATTGCTGCATACACCAGCGTTGCGTGTGTCGTTAAATGGTCATCTGGAGGACTTAACTTGAACTTTAAAATCGTTACCGAATCGGTAACAAGCGAGGCATTACAAAGCAAGGGCGAAAAGCACCGCAACTTCTCCCTCCGCAGTCATGCGGGTACAGCAAATGCACGAAGCAAACATGCCATTTCCGTATACTCTGCCGCATTTTTCTAAAAACAACCTTGCCCAAGTTCCCCTTAAATTTTGTAAAAAGACAAGTTTCACACGATAGGACCCGTTTGTAGAAAGTAGGCATTTCCCCAAAATGGGACCCGTACGCTGGTTTTTCCCATTTCAGCCTGGAGGCCCCGTCTTACCCATTGCTGTGAGATAACCCTGCCTTTCGTTTTCCCACCACCCATTTTTATTGCCGTGCCAGTCGGGGACACTACGCTGCTTTACGACGACACTTGACCAGTTACAAAGTACCCTGTTTGTCCGTCAAATATCGTCACTGCACGACAGAAGACTTGTGAGTACAGCAAATGTTCAACGTCTGCATTTTTTGAAAGGCAACAGCAGAGGAAGCCTTCTTGATAACCTTCTGCACGTCGAAAAGAAAATACGGGAAGTATCGCACACCTTACTATGCCACCTTTATCTATGCTTCAGTTCTTTTATATATATATGGGCTAAGTGCGACAAGGACTACAAAGAAACATCAATTCTCAAAACATTGTCTCCCCCCCCTTCTCCAAAGAGCTATTTCCAGTGTTAGATTGTCACACACCTGTCAGCAAAACCCGAGTTTGGCGATACACCAGAAACTCAAATATTGACATACTTCAATGTTATATTGCATTTGAAGGAGATACAAATAAGTTAGTTTTACAAACGCACAAAAGTCCCTGCTGAAACCGACAGATACGGATCTCACCAACATTTGGGGTCACGCGGCAAGCCCTCATCCAGCAATGACTAGATGAGAGAGCTGTGCTTGTGGCTAAGCAATCAGATAAAGTCAGAATGCCAGCATTATATTACACTACCTGAATACGCAGGGTTTCCTTTTGACTTTAGAAAACCGTTAAAATAAAAAAACATTCGTCAATAACACGGCCTTAAAAAAAGTTACAATTATGTTTTGGACAATGTCCCTTCTTTGTCGACAAGAGGCCAGAGACGTAACCTCAGAACATTGCCTATTATACACTTTATTTTTACTGCAGTGTTATTTGACGAATGTTGATTTGATACGCTTCATTTTTACACCACTGCTGATGCAGCACCAAATAAAAAGTGTTTAGTTTTAATAATAATTCATCAGGGTAGACCTCTTGTTGCAATATAAATTTTACTTTGGTCCAAAGACCATGGGTTCTCTGAAACAAAAATGTTTTTTTTAGGCAGACTGACGTTTTAGACAAGAAAAACCCGACACATTTTAACTTCTCCACATCTCCGGGTCACATCAGCGAGGCATGGCGATTTTATTTCATTTAGGAAAAGCCCCACCGAGTTGCTAGACTTCTTTCGGAGGATGCTTCTGGGGACGCGTGACCTATTCATCATCCGGTTTTTCCCCTCCACATTTACTAATCAACATGCATGAGAAATATTTGGCTATCAATGTCCACACAATGAGCCACTATTGAGCTATCATTTGTGATAGTCAGGTCGCTACTGAAAGCTATGTAGCTCAGTGGGCCTTAACTGGTAAAAAAATGGTTTCGTTTTTACGCAGGGAGTCGCACAATACTTTTTGGAGTGCCTGCGAGCTGGCATGAGAAAGTCACCATCTGATGCTTGAGCATGTCCAAAACATTGTCCAGGTAATTGTCCACCAACTTCTGGCACTCGGAAACTGAGTCCTGGATCGGACATCATGGAGCAGGCACTTTCCAGGTACGCCTTCAACTGAGCCTGGGGGGGGGCAGGGAAGGGGGACAAAGCAAGAACACACAGGCAAATGATCCCACCATTTATCCCTATAGGCCAAGGGGTTGACAACCAAAAAAATTAGCCATTTTTTTCGAATTCGGCAAAAACCTCAATATTTCTCAGGGCCGCGACTGCATGTGAATAACATCATGAAGCAGTTCCTTCAGAGCCGCATGCGGCTCAGGAGCCGACCCCTGGTATCGGTCGTCAAGGCAAGTGCTGTTTGTGAGCACCTAACGGCAGCCACAGTACAAGAGGGGTGAGTGGACAACACTGCATGGTCTCCTTTTCTTTGCCACGATATTGATGTTTGCAGTCTACCAGTTATTAATTTAAGGAAGAGTTGGCCTTAGGAAAGCCAAGGAGAGATAAGCCTCACTGCCGATGTAACCGAGAGGAATGGAAACAAAATCACATAGTTTATAGCTAAGTGGGATAAATGCAAACTCATGCTCCCCAATAGCTTTGTTCATGAACGACGTAACTTTACAATCATGGGTCGTGAACATGTTTATGGCACTCCTGCCATAACAGACCTCACTCCCACGAGCTTCATGCCAAATGAGCATCGCGAGGTCACGAGAAGGCCCTTCGATGGAGCAAATGCCATCATCAAATCAAGTCAGACAGGAAGTCAGACAGCCCCGAGGCACAGTCAAGGAAGGAGCTGTTTGTTGTTTGGGCTGCATCTTTCCCACGGGCCAGGTGGCATAAGAGGGGTGTGGGGTTGATGGGGGCAAATGCCATCATGCCAAAATGTGTTGTTACTTCAGGGGAGGAGTCAGCAACAGACAAACAGCTGCCATTGGTGTGTATTGGCCAAGAGTTGAACACAAGAATTTGGGCCTGCAGTCACACTGATGAATATGAATGTCACAAGGTTAAAGGTCTCCCATTGAAAAAGCATAGAATGTTTTCAATACAAAAACTTACATCAGGGATAAGATCCAGAAGAGATAGGAACAGCCGCATAAGTTGCAGACGTTTTCTATTGCACTAATGCAGTTCAAATTTGTAAAATGTAAAAATTACCCACAAACTACTCAAATCGGCATTACTCCTCACAGCAATCGCCCGTCTGACAAGACTCATGCCCGCTGGCAGGCCAAGTCCCGAGTCACATGGGGACAGCTGCCACTGGGGGTGCCCCTTTGCAATGTTTAAGAGGAGATGCGAGTCGCTTTAGCGAGTGTGAAGACCTCTGAAATACACCGGTGTAAGCGGTGTTATAACAGCAACGAATAATAATTATAAACGGGAGCAGCCTCACCTCCGTGGCACTTCCCAGCATCATGTCCCGCACCACCGTCACCACCTCCTTGCAAGTATCACACAGCTGGTTGTTCTGCTTGAGAAACAAAACACATCCCTCTTTCACTCTATATAGCCTTTAACAGCACCCACAAGCAAATATAAAGATCTCCTGCATTAGGCATAGACTGCTGGGGCAAGTGCTGTTAACAAGCACCCATGAAGGCCGGTATGGGCACACGAATGGAGTGGGTGGCCAGCACCATGCCCAGCTGGCTACGTCTCCCGAGGGGTAATGTTTACACACCCTGCAGCAGGTACTCATTTGAGGCAGAGTCGACCTAGGGGAGGCCCAGGACCGGTAGAGATAATCGTCACTGGTGATGGCCATGAGCAGGAATCGAATTCTGGTCACGGGGTTTCGCAGCGCAGCACGCTAATCACTGCTCCACAAACAGTCACATGTGCACACTAGTGCTACAGATAGGATGCTGCATTCCAGTTCATTGATAACATTCAATGCAATGGCAAAAATAAACTTCGGAAGATTAGGGGCCATGATAGCACATTTCAGCGCACAATGGTTCGTTCAGACTTTCCCAGTACAACGTTAGTTCAGCTGCCAAGGAGGAATGGGGTCTGTTCTGCTCTACCCTCTACTTGACAATTAGGCATGTGGTCGTTGATGCAAAGTGAGGTGCCGTGGTGCGGTGTGCCACAGCGTGCCCGTGTGTTGTGCTGCAATGCGGTGTGACACAGCATACTGTAATGTGGTGGTAATGCGGTATGCTGTAACGTGGTGTAACACGGTGTGCTGTTGTGGGACATGATACGATGTGCTCGTGCGGTGTGCTGGAGTGTGGTGTGCCGACGTAGGTCGCGATGCAGTCTTGCGGTGGTGCGTCACGCACGGCGGTGGGCTTGTTCCACACGGTCTGAGCGCAGTGCTGCACGGCGCTGCACTCGGTGGCGCTGCGGAGGTCGCGGCACCAGTAGCTCGGGCCGTAGGTGCATTTCTGAGGGGCGGCATTTACGCCCGCTGTGCAGGGCACGGACAAGGAAGACACGAGATTTACAGCAGGTGGCTAAACCGACGACGAGGCATGGATCGGTCCGCGAGCACCAGGGGTGCACGAATGCTTGGCAAAAACTAACATGACGTCATGTTCGTGACCATCACGGCCTGCAGGGGAGAGCCAATTCCAAATGCGTTCCGTGCTTATTGAAGCACGCACACCTCTGGTCTACATCACGACTATAATAACGTAGTTTATTTATATTGTCGCAAACATTTCATTGAAAATCCAGCATTGGGGAAGTTTGGCCAATTTCTTACTTAAGGGGAGAGAAAACCACAGCACTCGAAGAAACCTCAGCACGTGTTGAAAAGGAACTAACACGCAAGGTTGTGCGCACGTATGGGCTCATCAACAAAACAGCTGTACTACCATCTTCGAAGGTAACCTCGTAGCACACAGCAGGTTTGAGAGGTTTCGAAAAAATTGCGAGTGACCAACTCTTGCTTCTGCCAGACCAGAGGCCCGTGCTATCACACCTCGCTCATAGCAACACCAGGCCCATGCAAACAGCAATAATAATAAATTCGGTTTCATAACGTGCCTTCCAAGTTGGTAATCTTCAAGCGCTGTACACCAGAAGTAGAACATTCATTTTAAAAACAATGACAAAAATAAAACATTGACACCAGTAAACATGCAGTCAAAACCCAAATGTAGGCAGAGCTTTTGGGAAATAGCCGAGTTGTGAAAATTCAGTGGCTCAGGCATGGAGGTCAGCACAATTAAGCAGCCTCAATAACCAGTGCACATTTTCTGCGGCAGGGTTTCCAAATTGTCTGGAGATTTTTTAAGTCACCTTCAGATAAACAAACGGTGCTAAGTCCACCAATCATTGGCATTTCAGCACCTTATCAATTCGTGGAGGGAACATTGGAACACTGCTTTAAAAGGCAAAATGTAACATGCAAACCGCATGGACTTTTTCATAAAGGCACAAAAAACACTTCCCCTAGAACTCACCGAACAAATGAAAAAGGAACTGATACTTCTCAAATAGGCCGACAAGTCTGGATTAATTTATAACCAACTAAACCAAGCGCAATCGCCATGAAAACACATTTATGGCCCATAACCCACGTTTACCAGGACTATTGACCCTAACAACACGACAATAAAACCAAGGTCCTGTGGCATCTTAAAACCTACGTTGTCAATTTGCATAGGCAACTAAAGATCGGCATCGATGTGTTGGAACCTTGGGTTTGATTGTATCACTTGAGCCATTCCCATCTGATCCTACTGCGAAGGCGGGAGGAATTGTCAGACTTAAGATGACCATTGATCGATTGACCAGGATCTCTTTCCAAGTGGCAACTTCGCTTGTAACATGGGGGCGAGGCAGCAACGTTCACACGGTGCCCCCTACGTTGGAGTACTTGCTCGCAACTCATCTCAGTCATTGCCACTGTGCCCCCCAGACTGTCGTTATGAGAAATCGTATTTCCAGACACCATAAGTGTGGTTAGAACAGTGGTGTTCGCTAAATGGCATCAGGCACGGTGGCGAGATGTTAACCACCTTGCCTGGTATACAAGAGGTCGTGGGTTCAATCCAGACACTGACGGCTGTATATTTAGTGTTTGCATGTTCTCCCCATGGTCACGTAGATTTTCCCTCCAAGTTTTCCTCCGATTTTTTCCTCCACATTTAGAAACACGCGTTTAGATTGTCTGCTATGTATTTCCACCTGATAAGCCACTTAATTGAGCTATCATTTGTGGACAGGTCGCTTCTGAAAAGAAAGCGAAACAGCTCAGTGGGCCTTAACTGGTAACATAATAAAAAAAATCCTAGGTGGTACCAAATTCTACTTCGTTAACCCATAGTTTATATTTTTCTCATACACGGTGGGAGCTTGTAGTTCACCTTCTTTCGAAGCAATGGATTCAAAGCCAAATATACGTCCGTGTCGAGATGACTTGTTAGCCAGCAAAATGGCTTCAGTTGATCAAGAGATAACAAACCTTCACGAAGTTCCCTTGTTAGGTGTTTTGAACATGGACATTCATTAAATCAGCTGCATGGCCATAGCCCCCATCAGGAAATTGCAGCCAGTGAAGCTACAAAAGCAGATGCGACCGCTGGATTGTCATGTGGCTCTGAGTCACTTCAATGGAAAAGTTGTGGTGCTGGCATATCAGCAGTGCTCAGAATGTATGTACTGGTTGTTCCTGGGCACAAACGCATGCCTTTTGAAACGTGGAATATTCCCTGTTTGGATGTTTCTTTTTGGCCGTCTTGTTTCAAGCTCTTTTAAAATGTTGAGTATTAACTCGCAATCAGAAGCAGAGTTAATTTTATGGTTATGGCTCGTGGTCATTGCTAGTCACCTATTTCAATGGAAACAATTTCATGACAACATGAGATTGACGGCTCTTAAAACTAAGTTAAGAATTCACCACCATGGCCATAAACCCAACATCATTACACCACCAACATCTATAACCACAAATATTTACAAGGACTGTAACAACAAGGGACAATACCCATCAACAAAAAAACAACAAGACAACCACGACTTTACAAAGTACACCATCACTTCACTATGCACCAGGAACTTCGCCGCACTGACGTAATAGTAAAACAAACTACGGACAAGATTGCATTTTTGTTCATTACCACACTTTGATATATGGATATAAATATATACTACACGCATTTTAAAGAAACTATTAATGAAAAAATTGGTGTAGGGTCGTCTCCTGTAGAATCGTGGCAAGAAAAGCCAATTAGAATTATTACAACCCCTAACGCTGAACCCATAAGCCATGACCATAACAAAGGCATTGTGCACCGAAATGTTCTCAACTAGAATCCAAGGTCTGCGATTAGACAACAAAGATCCCCTGTATAGCCTTAACAGACCGTGGGGTCACATGCTGTTTGCGAGCATCTATAAGGCCAGAGCGACATACGAGGGGATGGGTGACCAGCACCACACCCGGCCGCCTTTGTCTCCCCAGTGGCGATGTTTATTACACACCTGCAGGGAGTGCACTTCCAAAATAGCCAAACAAAAGACCACTCTGTACTCCAGGCAGCGGTGAACTCGTGGGTTAACCATAAATAAAAAATTATAATCGGCAACGTTTCGGGCAATGGTCCTTATTCATAGCATGTGTTTGCATGTCACCGATTATATTTCTCTTTTAAGGCCACAGGGTAGTTAAAGTGTGCAGAGTTATTTTGTTTGGGGCGCCGCGGTGGCGAGATTAATGGCCTCGCCTGGTATACAGGAGGTCGTGGGTTCGATCCAGACTCCAACACCTGCTGTATATATTTGGAGTGGTCGCGTCGATCCAGCTGGTGCATCTACCATTCACCTCAGTCAACCAACCCATGGCACATGGGTCTGTCCCGAGACCTCCAGTCGGCGAGCCTACGACACTTCACGTGGCCTCAAAGAGCACCTAGCCTGGCACAGGCACCGTGGAGCGGGTATTGGTATTGACCACGTGGATTTTTCTCTGGGTCCTTCCCCTCCACATTTAGAAACACACGTTTGGAGTTATTTGGCTGCTATAAGTTTCCACAAGCCACGAAGTTGAACTTTCATTTGTGGCACGGTCGCTTTTGAAAAAAAGCAGCTATAAATTATTTTAGTGGGTCCTACCTGGTAAAAACAAAACCACCAAAATAGTAACCTTTCACACCACTGCCAACCCAGCAGCCGCATGAAATTGTTTACTCCGCAGTTACTAACGTCTTTGCTAAAGATAAGTAATATTTAATAAAAAAAGCTTTCATGAAATGTACCCTACTAGTAATGGCAGAACTCCACGACTCCAGGAAGTGGCCCCGAAGCTCGCAATAATGTGAGGGACCGTGGTCGATTACAGTCAACCGTGAGTTGAGCGTGGACAATAAGACCCAAGCCGAAACATAGCATTAAAAATAATGTTTAAAAAGTATATATTTCAGTATATACCAATTCTAGATTTGAAGCTTTCGTGACTGCAAGAATTAATACTCTTGGGGTTTTTCGGTAAAGTCACGTAGGTAAAAATAAAAATTTACAGAAATAATGGAAATAAAATAAAAATCACGACGTTTCGGAGGCAACACAAGTCTCCGTCATCAGGTGGGACCGTCACAGCTAAATTGACTGAATCAAGTGAGGAAAAAATCCAAGAGACAAGCTCTTAAATACAAGTTAAGGGGGAGGGGGGGCTTATCTGAATGTGATAGCCAGGGAATGGAACGTGTTGGGGGGGGTAAAAGAGAACAATTGTTGCACATCGACTCGGGGTTGTGGCCGGTGTTAGCTGATAATCCAAATACTTTACCGAAAAAACCTAAGAGTAGAAGTATACCAAGTTTGCAGTCGATACCACATTTGGGAAGTGGGTTAAAATTGAGTTACAAGATTTGAGGATACAACAGTGAGTTAATAAAAATCGTGTAAAAAAATAATACCATCGGTTTACATGACCCCCAACTAAAAGTTACCCTTCTCCACTGCCTCCTGGGGCAAGTTTTACAATCTCTCCATCACCTCTTCGCGGGGCGAGATCAACGCCCTCCGTGCGGCTTTCATCACAACAGAGGCAACCCCCGGGGTGGGGTTCTAGAAATCTCCACCTCAAATTGACAAAGACTCGGGGAAATTCGCCGGCAACTTTCTTCCTCAGCCATAACCTCACCAGAAACTGCGACTTCATATTCAACCTCTTGATAAACCCCCTTTACCAAGCCCAACCACCCACACCACCACCACTCTGTCTGCTCCTAGCCGCAGTACTTAACCGTGCCCGGCTAAGTAAAATGTCTTAGGTTTGCGTTTCGCTTAGTGGATATATTTAAACAGCGACACAAAACAACAATAATAACAGCCACCCAGAGCCTTTGAAATCTCACACCTCGGTCACCTCATCGCGTCCCCATGCCCTGACCACATCGTATCTTTGCCAGAGGAAACGAGTGGAAGCCACGCCGCATTACCCCACCTCTTCATCCCCTCATTTTCACTTCCACCACACCAACGCATCTCAATTAATCGCCCATTCACCATCATCACCACCACCACTCGTCCACCTCGTCACCTCAACCCTTCCACACGACCACCTCGCCTGCTCCGTCAACCACCGCCACTGCGCTTACATCACCACGTCCACCACTTTACCTCATCGCTTCACATCACCACCATCATCACCACCACCATCACCATCATCACCATGTCCACCACTTTACCTCATCGCTTCACATCACCACCATCATCACCACCACCATCATCATCACCACCACCATCATCCCTCTCACCTCCTCCAAACTCACTGAGTCCCAGCGACAGCAGCACTGCCAGGCCCACCATGACTTGACGCATCTCGCTCGCTTCACGGGCTTGAGAAGAAGGGGGAATGGGTGGAGAGGACGCGACTTGCTTCAAGTACAAAGGCAGAACACGCCGATTACTACTACGGCAGTACGATCGTCAAGAAAGCCGCGTCGAGGGCAGAGAAGCCGATGCCGCAGACTGAGGAGACGTCCTTCTTCAACAAATGGCAACCGCAGCTTCCGCGAGAGGTGGGGGGGGCGGGTGAGAGAAACCACCTCGCGGGCTCCTCTCATTGGACAACCGTGGGTCACGTGCACATTCATAGCCAACGGGCGCGCGCGTTGCTTCGGGAGAGGGCGGGAGAATTGGGGGTAGACCCCTCCCCTCCCCCACAGCCCCTCCCCTCCCCCACAGCCCCTCCCCTCCCCCACAGCCCCTCCCCTCCCCCACCGCCCCTCCCCTCCCCCACAGCCCCTCCCCTCCCCCACCGCCCCTCCCCTCCCCCACAGCCCCTCCCCTCCCCCACAGCCCCTCCCCTCCCCCACAGCCCCTCCCCTCCCCCACCGCCCCTCCCCTCCCCCACAGCCCCTCCCCTCCCCCACAGCCCCTCCCCTCCCCCACCCCCACCCCCGTTGCCTCCAGCGCGTTCGAAAATATCACGAGGACGTCGGTGACGTCACGGGCCGAGGTCACGTGACACGGCGACTCGTGTTGTTGGGGGGGGGCATCCTTCGAGTTCGTGCGCAAAAATCTGTCACAACTGCACCCCTCCCCCCCTCCCTGTGGGCACGCGGACTGTTTACACCCCCCCCCCCCCACCTGCTTACGTACGCCTGACGCACCCCCCCCATTACGTACGCCTGACCCCCCCCCCCATCCTATAGAACGGCCGATATTGAATCCACGCAGAAACGATCAAGGATAAAAAAAAACCGCCACTTTTTCCAAAATTTCTTGCTGTGGATTTCACACCGATTGCTTGTGTTGCAGTCGAAACGTCGTAATGATTTTTATTGTTTTGTATTTTTATTCTTTTATTATTTCCCTTTGGGTTACGCACTAAATGAATGGCCCATTCATGCAAGTCATCGGGGGCTGCCCATCACGACGACTTTCATACGTTACGAAATCATCATAATAATGATTAAACGCGTTGTTTGGCGACGTTGCTTGCTGCTCATAACGCGACGCATTCGTCAGTAACACGGTGTTGTGGAGTTAAAAAGGAAAAAATAGGTGACGTTTCGGGCATGGCCCTTCTTCAGAGCACAGAGAGACCACTTCGAGTGGATAATAGGGGTTGGAGACTGCGCCGAACACCGATGGGGCCTGATGAGAATTACATTGAACAAATATGTTTTATTCTTAAACAGTTTTTAAATGGGTATATGAATAGTTACCAAAATACTGTAGCGACTATTAACATACAAACTCTTCAATAATCAAAAGTATTTCTACGAAATAAACTCATTAAAATACAAAAAAAATACATAAAATGTTAGTGGCAAATTGCGTTTTGAGAAAATGTTTTGTTTGTGGAACAAGACACCAATCCACCTGGCAGTGCATTCGCCAATTCAATAAAATGTAGCTGCAGCAGCGAACAAGCACACCCTGAACATATTCGTGTGACTAGCGGCTGTTAAGAATGATCATCCTCATCTGCACGCCCATCCCTGACATCATCATTGTCACATGCCCTCATCACTGATCATATAATCGTTATCACCTGCACCCACCATCACTGACACCCCCACCTCAATGAAAATGTTCAATGTCACTCACATAATCATCTGCCCTCGTTTTATTACAGCTATTCTTGACATAATTATCCTCACGTGCACCTCATCACCGACACCATCACAATGTATTGTTCCGATATCACGTGCATTATCATCACTCAACCCAGTGGTTCTCCACATTTTTTGGCTACTCTAACCCCCTTGTTGAATTTTGTTTCAACCGAGTACCCCCCCCCAGAACCGGCCCTAGACCTTTGGGGGCCCTAAGCAAAATTTGGTTGGAGGCCCCTTTGATGTATGATTTTTTTCACCCACGAGCTAGCAGTGACTCTAGGGGGCCCTTTGCTGGCCACGGGGCCCTTTGCAATTGCAATGGTCGCTTAGTGGCTGGGCCGGCTCTGCCCCCCCCCCTTGCCTGACCAAACATGGTTCTGATAAATAAATGTATGAATAGTGAACATCAATATTGCCCATTTCGTGACGGGTCCTAACTAGCAAAGTAACTGCTAGCAAAATAACAAGATTCCACGGGACGCTCTGCGTGCATGAAGTAACTAGTTATCGCTCGCTGGCTACTCTTAGAAACCACTTTGTTTACGATAAGTGAGTTTAGTAAGGTTTTTTATATCGTTCTAGGTTACCATATGGATTGATATTTTAGTTATTGCATATATTGGCAGATTCGTACATCATTATTCCCCAATGACTCATGTATGGTAAAATTCCACACATGTATAAATCACCCCGGTTGAGAACCACTTACCTAACCCCATCACTAACACATCACTAACTTTCCTTACTGCCATCATGATCAACATAATCTTATACATTATAAAATTCCACGTTTCATTACCACCACCATCATCATCAGTATCATTATGGCCCCATCACTCACACCATCACGATCTTTGACTGGCACAGTTGCCGCCACCATAACTCGTTTGTAACCATGACATCACGCAATCATTGCTACGAATGCTGAACAAATAGTAGGACATGTGCCGATACTGTTTTAGACTAGGGCATCATCACGCCGGTCACACGCAGCTATTGTGTAACTGGAAGATGACATTCCACACGCGAAGATGTGTCAATATCCACAACAATACCTGTTGTGCACATTTAAATTTAGAACTTCAAATGACATCTATTTAGCACGTAGGCTTTCGCAACCAATAGTATCCATAATACAGGGTTTTCGTGTTAGATCGCGTAAATATAAATGTGCCGTTAAACCCGCCACCACCCGACACAGCCAATTAGTAAGGTTTGTCACGTAAACAGAACATGCGAATTCGTTACTTATACAGCACACCGGTGTGTTGGAGCAAATCCACAACATTTACAATCTGAGAACGACATTTCGCAAAGTAATTACAACTGGCATTATCAGGCGGCAGCCAGATTTGCGGAGAAATCCTCCTATTTCGTTCCTTAAATAGAGGGATTGATATGATGACGTCACTTGTGAGCCCTTCTTGTGCGAAGTGGGGGGGGGGGGGAGATTAATGAGTGCGTATAAATTACAATGTGTATCCATTACCGGTTGCGTTATTGATATGGTAATCAACGTACACTATGCACGTACATTATTCTTGCCCATTGCTCTTGTACCTCCTGTCGTTGTGTGTGTAATGACGACTTGACACACTTCTCTTGAGATGGCACTTTATTGAAGACACGTTCACCTGACATCAGGCAGAGACCCCACTGCAACAGCCCCGAGTTTCCCACGCATCTCCCTTACATACCAACACGAGGGCACGCCCCCCTTCTCGATCATTCTCGCTGACTCTGAACGCTCGCTCCACTGGCAGACTCCACCGTCACCTGACCACGCTCCCTTCTCGATCATTCCCGTAGCCACCGCTCCCTTTGCACTCACAACTGATACTCCTGTCATTATCTCCCGTGGCCACTAGTCCACTCACAGCGCATGTTGGCTCTACTTTCATTACATCACCCTCCCCCTTCTTAAAAATATAGCTGTCTGGCTAATACCAAGACTTAAAGAAAGACAAAATTTCAACAATTAGGGCAGAATGACAACCCACATCTGCATGGAAAAAAAACTCATCACTCGACCACAGAAACCAACAATAACATAACAGGAAGAGTGAGTAGTGCAAGCCACCCCACGCGAACAACAGCAACCGCACCGGGGTACACACATAAAAAATGTTTGGCCTTGGGAATCGACAGTCCACTTCGTGGTTTGGAGAGCCGCTATCGCAGCCGTAAAGTTCTCAACCGGGTACTTGACGCCGGTCCATTTCACGTGGCGGAGTCTTGTGGGCCTCTGAGACTCAGAGGGTCGCATTCTGTGGGTGGCACAATGCACTTCCCAGGTTGCACAATTATTTTGGACGACTGCCTTGGCATGTCGGACACACCAGACCCTGGCCACACAGGGTATGGAGATGAGATGTCTGGGCGGGGATGGACGTATGGTTTGAGGCACGATAGGTGGACAAACCAACGGCGACGCCCCGCCTGTACTCGCACGCACTGTGGCCGGTCCCTGCCATGGTTGGTGCAACTTAGGTGATGTCCGCAGCGGCACCTGTGGACAATGCAGCTACGCTGTGTCACCGACAGCCCAAGGAAGCACGTGCTCGCGATGTCCTGTGCTCTTCTCATTAGCGGCTTGTGTCCTGGCAGTATTTTCCCTCTCGCAGCACGTGCCTCCGACATCCGGCCGAGCGCAAGCTGCAGCGGCATGGGTACGTCCCGTATTTGTTTCTTTGAAGCCGTACCCAGTTGAGCCTCTATGGAGGGCTCGTGCTCCCGCCCGTACATTATAAAAAATGGGAAAATCCCAGAGGGCTGTGGAGCTATCCTATATGCTGCCAGAACCCCTGGGACATACAAGTCCATTTCCGTTTGTGCCTCATTAACTGCAAGCGATCTACCATTCCATCCGTTTGAATGTGGTATGGGCACGTTCTAATCTTTTTACTATATAATGCGTCACATACCTCATGCAGCAGCTTAGATGAAAAATTTCGACTCTGGTCAGCGAGAAGCTGCTCTAGGGCACCCTTGTCCAACACGTAGCTGTGTAGGGATGCGTCAGCAATGGATGCAGCTGTCTGGTCCGATAACGGCCAAGCCATTGGCCACCTGGTAAGATATTTCACCCCCACAAGGAGAAATTTGTTACCCTTTTGTGAACAGGATATCTAGCGCTACCAATTCGTTGATACGGGACACCGTGATGGACTGCAAGGGGGGCTGAGATTTTTGCAACGGGGGCTTCCAGCGTGTGCACTCCGTGCAACCCGCGACCAGGTGCTAGACATCGGTCGACATTCCGACTAGTAAAAATCTCGCTGCAAGGTCAACAGCGTCTTACGACGTCCAAAGTGCAGTAGCTTAGTGCCATGCACCACACGCGTCAGCGTACCGCTTAGGGAAGTGGGGACCACCAGGCACCGATGTTGGGTGACCCCATCCCACCGCATCAAAAGTCCGTCGTGAGTAATGAACCGCGAGATTCCTGCCGAGGTAGGGTGAT